AATGAACTTGCTCTGTCCCCATGGGTGGAGAGAATGCTAAAATGGGGACCCTCTGTGTGGCCACCGTAGCATGTGGTCAAAAGCAGAAGTCCTGGAGGCCACTGTCTATGTTCAACTCTCAGCATTGAACTTTCGGTTTAGGGGATAAGTTATATAACTGCTCCGTGCCTCAGTTTCCCCAGAAGTAAAGTGGTACCCACCTCACATGATGGTTGTGAAGTCAGAGAAAGGATGCGTATAAATCCCTCAGCACAGGGCCAGCTGCATAGTTGGTACCAAATAATCCTATTAATAGACGTAAGACAAAGCTAGTATCTGCCCTGAGACCACCGGATGCCTGGTTCCAGCCCACCTCCTACGACCTCCTAGCTGTGTAACCCTGGGGAACATTTAACTATTTGATCTCAATCCCTGACATGAAAAATGGGGACATGACTCAAAGGAGATGAGAAAGGTGGTACCAGCTGGATAAGGGCTGGCAGGGTGAGGTGATGTTCTTATGTAAGAGGAGGAGCAAGACCAGGTGACTCAACCACTTAGAAAATCTTTTAAAAGCTAGAGTTTTCTGGCCACTCTTAAAATTTGATCCCTTACTTTGTATCTTTCTGGATTTTCATGAAGAAAAAGAGGGGCAGAGAAGGGAGCTACCCTTCACTGAGCACAGAGAGCCAGGCCCTCCAGATGCCTCACGTGACTTAGTGCTCACAGCACTTGAAGGATGCGAAGTGGGGCCGGGAGGCTGAGGCCCCGCCACATTCACTCTGCTGGTAGCTACTGCTGGGAGTCAAGCCAGCGTGTCCACTCATGGCCTCCCCTGTTTCCAAAGTTCATGAGGAAGGGACTTCCAATTTTAAGTTGCCCTGACCCTGGAGTTCAGCCCCACTGGGGGCTCAGTCACAGGCCCGCTTGCCCTGGAGGAGGCCTGCAATGGTTTGTGGGTCCTGTTTTGCAGACAGGAGGCAGGCTGCCGAGGCCAGGCCTCAGTTGGCCTCACGGAGAGCGGCAGGGACAACCAGCCCAGTCCTCCACCTCCACTGTCAGGCTGAATCAAGGCCTGACGAGAGTGAGGAGTGACATTGGCGCAGGGCTCTGGATGAAGCAGCTCTGCCGGGGAACAGGGTCCGGGCTTTCAGGGACTGTCAGAAAGTGAAGCCCCTGCCTCGTGGAGGAGGGCTTGCTTTTCTCTGCTGCAGCCCCGTTATCCTTTCCCATGATGCACTCTGTTCCCTCCCGGCCCGTAGTTATCCTTTCCCGTGGGGCAGTCAAGGCCATGGGTATATAAGGGAGTCGGGGAGTAACCGTGGCTAGAGGAGAATCTCAAGTCAGTAAGCTGGGCTCAGAGCCCAGCACAGCCCGTGCAGCGGGAAGAATGCGGTGCGGGAAGCAAACAGGCCTGGGTGTCAGCCCTGTTCTTGCTTTATGCGCTGTGTGTAGTCTCTCTGATCCTCAGGCAACGTGCTTCCCACGCTGTTGAGAGGTGAAAATGATTATGCGTGCTGCACTTTGTCTCTAGAACACATGTGCTGAGTTAAGAACGAGGGCTTAGGGCATTAGAGGCAAGGAGTCAAGGAGCCCAAATCCTTTCCGTGTGCACCCCTCCCACCGGCCCCTGTAAAGTCCCTCAAAGGTCCGTCCCATGGGGAGGAGGCTCGGCTGAGGCAGGTGCGGAGTGCATCCTCCCTCGGTGTGCCCACGACTGCCCCACGTTCTCCTTTGCCAAGGAGCAGTCACATCTCGACAGAGACAGGAATCCTCCAGAACCATACCCACTATTTGTTATGCATCAGTTAGAGAAAAAAATGCTTCACTTCATCATTTAAAAAACTTTCATAACAACCCTGAAAGACGGAGCATGATTACCTTCTTTCAGAGACAGAGATTCAGAGACATGAAATCACTTGCCTCCAGACCCACAGGTCAAGAGAGGCAGCGCTGGGACTGAAATCCCAGCTTGCGGGCCTCCCAGAATTGCTGCTCCATCCGCTCCAGGGTCTGCCTCAGTAGGCAGAGACTGTCAGGCAGCCAGAAAGAGCACGATCTTGTTGGGATGAGGTCAACACAAATCATAGTCTACAGGAGGGTCCACTTCAACACACGCTCCCCACTCCTTGGTGACTCCATGTTGTATGATGCCCTCAAACTGCCCGATCAAATAGGCCTCAGTGGGAGCAGAGGCAGTTACCTTCCTGCTCTGTAAGATGATGCAGGGAGAGAGGGGAGAGTGACTCGTGGGACCAGCAGAATGAGACCGGCAGCTTCTGTGACATGCAGGCCTTCCCCCGGGGACAGGGCCAGTTCACCAGGTCCTGCCTGCAGGCCCCAGATGGGAAAGAGGGTCCAAAGGGCCAATTTCTGCTTATCGATGCAGAAATGCATTAAGTGCCATATGAGTGGAGATCCACTTATAACTGTCCCTCTGAGCATGTGATGTTATGCTCAGTGACTCTCCTTGCTAGCATTTAAACCCAGGGAAGCAGGGAAGAAAGGGGCCCGGAGAGGGGATGAGGAGCAGGAAGGAGCACGGCGTGGGAGGACAGCACGTAGCTTGCACAGAAAACCCATATCGCAGGGATCAGAGGCTGAAAGCCCCTAGAAGATGAAAAGGTCAGGGTGTGGGGTTCAGAGCCCAGGCTGAGAATAACACAAATGTCAGGGCCCCCTGTGTGGGGGGTGAAAAGGGCCACAGAGACTGTTGGCTGTTGAAAATCAACAAATGTGGGCAAAGATTAAGAAAGGCATTTAAACTCCTCTGATCTGACCCTGAAGATGTGCTGGGGACCACAGTTACCTTCAAAAGTAGAGGAGGTCATCTAAGCAAATTCAGTAGAGACTGAGGCTTTGGGGAATAATTGTAGCTTCTGTCACAGCCCTGAGAGCCATAGTAATAAACGGATTTATCAGGAACCACTTCTGCACTCTGTGGATGTGACAGCAAATATAGAGCCTAAAATTCTAATTGATCAGCTCACACAAATGACAGGCAGACACAAGCAGGAGGGTCTTTATTTACGTGAACATTAAAACCCATTTTTGCCACCAGATGCATCAGTGCCCACAAGCTCAGAGAAATTTGTGCAGTGGTTTTTACTGAAGTCTTCAGGTGTGCCTATAATTTTAGGAAGGATTACTAATTCACTCAAAAACAAACTGGAAAAAAAATGCACAGCACGGGAGCTGTGAGTTCAGTCTGACAGGGACTTACTGAGAACTATAGCCCGGGAGACAGCCTCTCAGATACCTCTGAGGAACTGCTCCAAAGAGGGAGCAGGGGAGGTCAGTATCTATACGATTTTGGTGAATGAGGTATGTGCAATCAAACACACCTCCGTAGGAGGTTGCTGCTAGTCACAAGAACAGGTGTATCTGTTAATGGTTTTAGTGCTTTTCTAGATATGAGAAGAAGCAAGAAATTGGGTTCATAAAATCTCTTGAAAACATCTTAACTGTCTGAAGGACTGTTCTTCCAGTTTTTCCCAGAGCGCAGAGGGCCTCATTCCTGACCTCCCCCTGAGCTCCTTCCAGGGTGTGTTAAAGGTCAGTGACCGCAGTGGCTAATGACCTTGTGTGGATGGCGAGTGATCTTAGTTGGCAGAACTGTCTGTAGATATGAGTAGGTCCTAAATTATATCTTCTCCCCCAGTGTGTGAAAAAGTTTTGCCAAACAAAGTCTGGTAAAAAGACAAATCCGTAGAAACAAGAGCTTTCTCCAAATACAAAGAGCCAAATGCAGAGAGCATGCTCAGTAGAGTCGAGCCTGACGAGCCACAAGCAATAAGCTCTGATGTTTCTGCTTAACAATGATCAGTTTACAGGTGTTTCCAAGGCCCTTCAAGGAAGCCGGTGTCCTCATCAGATTTCATGTATCAGGACGGCATGATTTTCTGTCATTCAACAAACTCTTGCTTTTCAATGAAATGGCTGGGGTTGGGAGAACACAAATGATTTCTGTCTAGCTTTCTGATCCAAAACTTGAATTAAATAACGAACAGTGACAATCCTTACCCAATTCCTGACATCTCCCAGGAAGGGTGTGACTATCCTCTTTTGATCTCGGAGGAGAAGGAATCTCAGGGGGGCAGAGAGAATTACCTGAGGTCACACAGGTAATTCAAGATGGAGCCAGGTCTCCAAACTCCAAATCAGTGATTGTCTGATGCCCTGTGAGCATAAACAATGTAGGCCCTCTCTCACATGAAGGAAATTGGGAGGGCCGGCACAGCAGCCCTAGGACCGCATACTCTGGTTTGCTGAGGGGAGGCCCGATTTATGCCTGCTGTCCTGGAATAATTATTTACACTCTCCAAAGTACCCAGGTTTGGGTAATGAATTATAAAATCACTCTAGTGAATAAGGACATAGGTTCCTTCTAACTTCCTGCTCCAGCATCTGAACAGGTGGCTTCCGTCTCATAAGGGTTCTATATATAGTTATGCAGCTTGTGTGTTGCATAACTCTCAGGAGCTTCATTCACATTCTACCCGTTACAGATTTATTATGACAATTTTCCAATGGATGACAGTAAAGTGTCTTTGGATAAGGGACCATTTCTAATTCTCACAAAGTTACTGTGAAAACTAAAAGCAATGCTGTCCTGAGGTCACCTAGTGTCCCAACAGGGCTGCTGAAGCTCCAGCCATCACATTCACCATCCTGACAGCAGAAAGGCAGAAGAGTAAAAATGGGATCACAACTCCTTGAAGAAAAGCTCCTTTTAAGGAGGATTCCTAGAAGCCCCACCAACATTTCTGTTCATATCTCATTGCCACACTTAGCTGAGCACATGTTACTCCTAGTAACATAGGAGTTCTGTTAGTAATGGAGAGGCGGAAATGTGGGAGAAGGCAGAAAATAAGTGATTGGCTACACCACATACCTCCACCTTGTGACTCTGGATTTAGTAGCAAATCTCATAGACTACCAAGTACCTGAATTTAATTTGGGAAATACATACCTCTCACTGACTTTCCTGCCTTCTTTTTTTTTTTTCCCCTGCCCTAAAGATTGGTTCTACACCAACAGTATCTTTGGAAATGCTGGAATCCCTCCAGAAAAGATCCCCTACATCACCTTGAGCACAGGTGGCATCGAGATTTTGGCTGCCATCTTCTCTGTAAGTAAATTGAGGGTTATTCTTGAGAACATCACACTGGGGCTGCGGGGATGGTAAACAGCGCTGTGGGGACCCCCTGGTAACAAACTGACATGCCTTTAAAAGAGCATACCCTTTGTCACTCCACAGATGTCTGAATTTGGGGAGTTTAGCATGCAGTTTATCACTGACATTTCGCCCATCTAAAGAGTATTTTTGTCTACATTTCATTTCCCTGTTGTCTCCCTGTTAATAAATAGCTTCTTTCTTTGAATGACACATTATGATGAGCACTGAGTGGAGAGAGCCATGTCTCCCTGGGAATCCAGATCAGATTCCAGGGGAGCCTAAGTTTAAAACCATTAGCTGACTTTAAACCATGACTGTCCCAAACATGTGGGAGTTTTCAAGGCAAAGAAAAGGAGAAAGGATACTTTTATAATAAGCAACAGCATCCAACAGAAGAGGGGCACAGATCTCATCACTCCTTCTCAACCTCCAATGTATAGAGTAAACATTGGGGGAAAATGAATCATTAGAGATTTCTGAATCTAGCAGAAATTGCAGAGGTTTTGCAATCAGACCAAATGGAATTTGAGTCCTGGCTCTGAAACTTACTGGCTTTGTGATGTCACAACGCACTCAACTTCTCTGATCTTCGGTTTCCCCCTTTAGGAGCTACTTCTGTCTCTTCAACCTTGACTTTGATGACCTTATTTCTACTCTTGCTTACTGATTTACACTGACAAGATTGATGCCAGTGCAACAGGCAGAGGTTTCCAACTGTACTTTTGGTGCATTTTCGAAAGAACACTTTATTTTGCCCCTTGCTTTTAATGGGGCATTCTAACAAGATGCTTTTAAAAGTGGATGTTATAAAAGTGTTGAGGACTGATGTTCCGTCTCCTTCCCCTTCCACTGGCAGTCTTTTTGTTAGAGAGAAAATATCTTGATATTTCACAATCTGTAAGTTTCCCAGAGTTCTTGTCTCACATTATAGACCCCAACCAATTGTCATCATTAATTTTCACATCGATCAGCGGGAGAGCACAGTCAGCCTGGAATGAAAGCGATGGGAAAATTACAGGGTTTGTTTTGGGGTTTTCTTTTTTGGTAAAGTATTCTGTTGTTATAAGAAATCAGCATGAGCTCATTAGGGTAAATTAGTAAAATACAAAACATAGAAGCAAAGGATCCATCACCTGTGATCATACCATCCAAGTAAGTTGGGCAAACTCTCCCCTGGTGCTTTCTGTACATAGATGACTGTATTGACCTTATTCAGTATAATCCTATCTACAGACTAATTTTAATTCTGCTTTTGTCCACATAAACTTATATCAGGATGACTTTCCATTTTATTCTTTATTGTTTGAGTAAATTTTTAATTGAAGTATAACACATGTACAGAAAGGCAGGTAGAACATCACCCCCTCTGAATTAACACCAGTTGTGAGAGCGTATCATTCTCCAAAAAGAAGCTATGCAGCAATTTCCATGACCATTGTCTGCGGGGCAGGGTTCTTGAGCATCTCTACTCGGAGCCCAGACGGCAGAGCCACACTGCCTGGAATCCCAGATTTATCCCCTTTGAACTGCGTGACCCCAGGAAGTTATTCAACAGCTCTGTGACTCGATTCCCCTTTTCTGTAATGACACCATCCCTGCCTCATAGGGATGGAGTGAGGATTAAACAAGTGGACACATGGCACATGATGTGACTCAGGGAGGGGTAACTCTTCTTGTTCTGTTTAGGTAGGTTCCCACTATCTGTCTTTTTTAATAAGGCTGTGGTGGATGTCCTCCAGGAGAGCAGGACTTTACAGGGACTCTCGCAGTCTTTCTGTAGTTGCGGAAACCAAGACCAGAAGAAACGACTTACCCGGGATCACACAGCCAGCAGGTCAGAACCTGAGGGAGTGGGGAGCACTCACATCTAGGACCCTATTGCTCCCCAAGACCCTGAGACTTTACGTGGGATCTTACGAATGTGCGCATCACTCCTGAAGGTCTGGTTACTGCCCCCATTTGAAAGGGGACCGAACAGAGGGAGTGGCGATGCTTGCAACCTCAGTCCCTCTGATTCCAGAAGCCCCTCCTTCCGGTCCCCATGCTCTGGCCGGCCAGTCACCCTCATTAAAAGCTGACAATGTTTGATGAAGTACCTCTTGCAAGGACTAATCCCAGGAAGGAGGTAAATGACTTCACCCTCCTGGGAGAGAAAGAGGGGACCTTTCTCAAATCAGAACGGGGAGCCACGGCCTCTGGAGAGTCTGCCCACTGCTCTCCTCAAGTTTGGATCACGACGGGCCATGGTCATTTGGATTATGTGCATTTTAGAGGCATGGGCACCCCCGTGTGGGCCCAGAATGAGAATGACAGCTTCATAGTTCTGGTGGTGGATTCATCCATCCACACATTCACCCATGCCACAGGCAGCTATGGGGCACCCATTTCATGCTCCTGCTGGGAGGTCACTGGTGAAGTTATCGTGATCTAAGGAAAAGGACCCAGAAACAGATGTGTGCCGTGTGTGGGAGGGGTTCTCCTGTGAGGGGATCCAAGAGGTCTTCCTGGAGGAGGGGCCCAGGAGGCTGAGTGCAGAAGGGCCAGCGGGAGTTAGCCAGGTGGAGGGCAGCCTGCCTGTGGCCCTGTGTGCAAGCCCCCAGTGTGTGCTTCCTCCTAGTTTACCTTCTTAAGGAGCTGAAAGTGCAGAACTGTCCGTTGAAAACAGTTGTAGAAATAGTAGCATTTACTCCAATCCCTGGAAAACCATGAGGTTAAATTCAGCCCAAGGCTGGGGGTCTGGGATGGAACAACGTTCTGGCAGAGAGACAGTTGAGGCTTTAGTGCCTGGTGACTCTGAATTCAAATCGTAATCATCCTTTTACCAACTGTGGTTTTGGGAAAAGTGCCCAACATCTCTGAAATGATTTGTTCATCTTTAAAATGGGTACCTAACCACGTCCACCTGTAGGAGGCAGAATGCTGCCCAAATGTCCATGTCCTAATTGCTAGGAAAAGAATATGTTACTTGACAGGGCAAAAGAGGCTTTGCGGGCATGACTGAGTTAAGGGTTGGGGGATGGGGAGGTCATCCTGGGTTATCTGGGTGGGTTCGATAGACTTGCAAGGGCCCTTACAAGAGAGGCAGGAGGGTCCGTCAGAGAAGGAGATGTGATGCCGAAAGCAGAGGTGGTGCAGCTGTTGGCTCTGAAGATGGAGAGCCAGGCCGCAAGCCAAGGAGTGCGGGCAGCCGTGAGAAGCCGGGAAAGGCGGGGGGCAGGTCCTCGCTGAGAGCCTCCCGGAGGGACAGAGCCCTGCCAGCAACCGATCTTTGCTCCACGAGACCTGGTTCAGGCTTGTGACCTCGGGAACTGTGAGAGAATAAAGGTAGGTTCCAAAAAGCCACAGAGTTGGTGGTAACTTGTTACAGCAGCCACAGGAAACGGATGCACAAGACTTGTGCACGGATGCACGACTTCCAGAACGCGTCAGGGAAACGAAACTCAGAGCACGTGGAGGCCGCTGGACGGTCCTGGCGGGGTCGAGACTCAGGGCATCCCTTGCCCCTTCCAAAGCCTGTGTGACCTTGTTTCCAAACGTCTGCGTGCTGTTTCATCCAGCCCCGGGGGGAGATGGCCTGCCTGAAGGCACTTTCCAAGTTTTCTTTCTTCTTCTTGAGATTTTGACATTCTCTTCAAATGGCTCCGGGGCCTGATAACACTGAGAAAGACATTTTTGTTCTTTTGATCTGCAATTAATTTTGGCTCCTGGCTTCGCTCATCAGCGGGGGCAGCTGTAAATAATTGCCGCCTTGCAGAAACAGCTGGTTTTCCAAATAGCTTCTCAAGGCGCAGCACTGGGTCTCTGATGAGTGAGCATCTGCAGGGTGTCGCTCAGGGCGCAGGACCCGAGGGTCCACTGCCACGTGAGGCGGCGGCTGGTGAGGCACAAGGCTCATTCCATCGAGAAGCAGGGAGGCTGTCCTCTTTTAAATCAGGGGAAACGGAATTCACATGTCACTCTTCCTCCTTAGTCATGGCAGGAAATTTCTGCCATCGTCTGGAACAGACTACACCATGGCGACTAAGTAAAACAAACAAACAAACAAAAACTACTGGTTTCCGCCAGTCACTCTGCTTCCCAACAAATTCCACGATTTCACCATCAAAACCCCCCGTGTTCCCTGCTGCATCTCTGGCCACTGGATCCAGCGCACGCTGGAGGGCAGAGCAGGTGGAGGGGATGACGCGGAACGGTGAGGTGCCCTTGTTGCCGCAAAACCAGCCTCTGTAACCCCAGGAGACGACTGAGACTTGGAGGCAGTTTGGGGGGAATCCAGAAAGAACAGAACCTCGTTGCTTTGCCAGGCGGAGGGGAGTCACAGCAGGCCCAAGCCGTAGGGGCTGTGAATCCATCCTGGGGTGGGGTCTTGAGGTATTTATAGAAAAACTGAAGGCAACAGAAAAGGTGGTGACAGCCAGGGCGCACTGCCGGCTGCGGCTGCCTTCCTCTCAGCCTCGGTAGATCTCCTGGCGTCAGGAGGAACTCCAGCGGGTCTGTCCGCCCTTCTGCGGTTATAGCCTGTTACCTCCTTCCTGGAGCTTAGCCTCTGCGTTAAAGCTAGTAATCAATCAGCAAGCAGTTTTAGCATCAGGGAAGCAAGTTTGTCTGTCTCCTGCTCCTTCACCGCGGCCCGGCGCTTACCAGCTGGGTGCCCTTGGGCCAGTTACTTAACCTCTCTGAGCCTCTGTTTTCTCTTAGGAGAAGTGGGGATAAGAGCAAATCTCTCCCCCAGCAGGTATTATCACGAGAATTCTACAGTGATTCACAGCGCTTGGCACAGGGCAGGCACTTAATAAATGTTAACTGTTGCTATGGGCTGAATGGTGACCCCTGAAAATCCGTATGTTGACACTCTAGCCCTCAGTATCTTAGAACATGACCTGACTTGGAAATAGGGTCACCGCAGATGTCATTAACTAAGATGAGACCCCACTGGAGCCCTGATCCAACGT